GGACAGCTGCCCTAGGGATGGAGCAGCAGTGCCAAGGCAGGCTCACTCCTGTCCTTGCCCTGCAGCACTCCTGAAAGCAGCTGGCATCCACAGTAGTGGCTCCATGTGCTGCCCCTCATATACAGTCACCAACCCCACAGCCTCCACTGGCCATAGTTCTCTATTAGAATGGCAGGAGTGGTGTCCACAGGCCAGGACAGCATGTGGAGACTCGCTCATCCCCATGCTGCTAGCTGAGTACCCATGTGCCCATGGTCCTGGCCACAGCCCTGGGCACTCACCAGCTTTCTGGGTATGAGATCCAGCATTGGACCCAGGTGTGCACACAGTGGGAATGTGAGCCGAGTGCCACTACTGGCTCTGCAGCTCTAGGCACAGGCTCAGAGTGGGGATTCTCCTCTTGCAGCCCCTTCTGACAGCGGAGGTCCCCATTTCAATTGCCTCAGTTTCCTCACCACTCAAGCATCCTTTGGCCTTTGGCTTCCAGAGCCCCTCTGCTGGGCCACACTCCACCTCATGGCTTCTTCTCCAAGGCCTGGCTTCTCTCTGGCCTCTGGCAGCTTCCTTCAGCCTTAGCTAACCTCCCCTCCCCACCAATCTCTGTGTGTCTAAAGGGCTGTAGGGACAGATCGCTGTTCCCTCCCCAGAGGCTGTTCTATGTCTTCAGCCCTTAGACCTCCGCAGACAAGTTTATCCAGGAGGTAGTGACTCCCCTCTTAGCCTGGGGAAGATTTATGCAGCTGCTGACAGTCTTTAATGACCAACCAGTTCATAGACAGTCATCCAGCACCACCCTCTGCCCCTTAGCCTGTGGAGAGGGAGCTGCCAATACAGGCTTTGACAGCCAGGAGATTTAAGGATATAGCCAGTTCATAAACTCAAGCTTGACTTCACAACTTACACACTGTCAGAGTCCCCCAGTCATCACAGTTGGATGTCTGCTGGCCAGCTGACACCCACGGCTGCTGCAGTAGGTGCCTTGATGGAATGTACCCCCGACTGGAAAGGCTACATCCTTCCTGACTGACATTCCAGGCGCAGGCTGTGTCCGTCTGACGCATCTTAGTAGCAGCCAGACTGGGGTTATTTGCTTGTCACGGCCCCACCGGTTGTTCCTGTTTGTGACCTAGACTCCAAGTTCTTGTCTAACACGTCTGACATCTGAGCATGTTTTATTGCCCGTTTCCTTCCTTGTCACCGTCTCAGCAATTTCTGTTCCTTCCAGGGAGTCTTTTTTCTCCCGACCTTGGCCCTGCCCAGGCCCCTGCTGGCTGATTTACTGCAGTGTGATCTCCCCATTTCGAGGAAGGGCCTGATCCAAAGCCCTTTGAAGTCAATGAGGCTCACAAAGGCCTCCCACTGAGTCTTGTCCTTAAGAGGGTGGAGAAGCACATGGCCTTGTTCCTCCTGGCATTTTGTGTGCTGACCCAGCCCATTGACTGTGGTAGCAGCCCATGAGCCATGGCTAGAGAAGTGCCAATGGGGCATGAAGCAGGACAGATTCATCCCAGGAGCCACCCCCCAGTTCCCCAGGCAATGGATCTGTTTGAGCTTTGGTTTGTCAAGCAGGAGTCAAAGCTGCTTTCTCTTTTGGGCTGTCCCTGGCTGAAAACACAGGCCCCCAGGACTTCCTGTCACTCAGCATCTCTCACACCACACAGTCCTCCATAAACGTCCCCACTCCTGAGCACACTGATGTTACCGGCACATTGCCATGAACGTGGTAACTTGGTTCTCCTGGCCACCTTAGCTCGCCTACATTGCACTGACAGACACCCCACCCCCGCCCCCCGTCAGACGGGAGAAGACGCCTCGATCCATTGAAGAGGGAAGGATGAGCTTGCAGGACAGGCTCCAGAAGCATAAAGGGTTGTTGGCTGCCGTTACACCCACTTGAAGGCTCCTTTTTGCTGCCCAAGTAGCAACAAGGAGTTGTGGTATGTGTGGCATGGGAGCAGTGTTCCCACTCATCTTTTTCCACCCCGGAGAAGAATGAATTTTATGTGCACCGTGGCAGTGATGGGCACCGACGTGGCAGTGATGTGCACTGACGTAACAGTGACGGGCACCGATGTGGTGGTGATGTGCACCAACGTGGCAGTGATGGGCACCGACATGGCAGTGATGGGCACTGATGTAACAGTGGTGGGCACCGATGTGGTGGTGATGTGCACCGACGTGGCAGTGATGTGCACTGACGTAACAGTGACGGGCACCGATGTGGTGGTGATGTGCACCGACGTGGCGGTGATGTGCACTGATGTAACAATGGTGGGCACTGATGTGGCGGTGATGGGCACTGACTTGGTGGTGATGTGCACTGATGTGGCAGTGATATGCTCTGATGTAACAGTGGTGGGCACCGACGTGGTGGTGGTGTGCATTGATGTGGCAGTGATATGCACTGATGTAACAGTGGTGGGCACCGACGTGGGGGTGATGTACACTGACGTAACAGTGGTGGGCACCGACGTGGGGGTGATGTACACTGACGTAACAGTGGTGGGCCCCGACGTGGTGGTGATGTGCACTGACGTGGCAGTGATGTGCACTGACGTGGCAGTGATATGCATTGATGTAACAGTGGTGGGCATCGACGTGGTGGTGGTGTGCACCAGTGATGTGCACCGACGTGGCAGTGATGTGCACCGACGTGGCAGTGATGTGCACCGACGTGGCAGTGATGTGCACCGACGTGGCAGTGATGTGCACCGACGTGGCAGTGATGTGCACCGACGTGGCAGTGATGTGCACCGACGTGGCAGTGATGTGCACCGACGTGGCAGTGATGTGCACTGACATGGTAGTGATGTGCAATATACCTTCATATTGATGAACATAAATTTTATGTGGGAGGGTGGGCCCAAGGGGGTCTGAGTGTGGGAGGAGGCTCAGGCCTGGGGCAGAGGGTTACAGTGCAGGAGTGTGAGGGCTCTGGCTGAGAGTGTGGGCTTTGGGGGAGGGGGGAATGGAGGGCTTGGACAGAGGGTTGGGGCGCAAGGGCACTGCCTGAGAAGGGTGCAGGTTCTGGGTGGGACCAGGGATGAAGGCTGTGGGATGCAAGAGGGTGTTCTGGGCTGGGGGGGCTCACAGTGGGGTGGGGATTTGGGGCTCAGGCAGACCTGGGTGGCTCCCAGCTGGGGATGGTGAAGAGCAATGTTCCCTCTAATTTTTTCCATCCACAAGAGAACAAATTTTGTCATGTGCCCACGTGCACCGCCAGAGGAACACATGCTGCCAGCTGTGGGTGCTGTGCTAATCAGCGGGACGGAATTTGACACTCTCCTGGGTGGGTGCTGCCCAAGCACTCGGCTTACAAGGAAGGCTGCGTGGAGTCAGCTGCTGGCCTGGAGATTGGCTAGGACACCAGAGGTTGACACCCCATTGGCAAAAAGTGCCCCATGCCACAAGGGCACGTAGCATTCTGTGGCCATTTTTAAAATGGCACCACTCACAGCCCAGAACCCCGAGCATTGTGCTGAGTGCACAGGTTCATGGAGGAGAACAACTGTCCGCATCCTGGGCTTTCCTTGAAGGTCTCTCATCCTGGTGGGGACAGGTAGAATTGCAGCTGGCGTGGCTCAGGACAGCAATGCACTCCTCCTCCCCCACTTCTGAGTCCTAGCTACTATGGCACAGAGCACAGGAAAGGTCCAATAAAAGCACAGCTCACACCCAGAATAGCATGTCTATTATCACACTCTTTAATAGCGATATGTCAATGTACATTCGGGCAGCAGCAGCAACATGCTGCCTTTAAGACTTTGGGGGGTTGTTGCTTGTCATCCATTAAATATGGTTGTTTGTAACCATTATAAAAAAAATGAGGACGAGAAGAGCTGCCATCAGTGAGTGTGCAGGAGACGGGGTGAGGATGGGGCAGATGGGAGGCGTGAAACGTGAGTGTGTGCGTGTGGCGTGGGAGCCATGAAAAACACGGTAAGCGACTGAATGAGGCACAGTGTTCACACTTTGGGGTAGCCCGCAGGCTCAGCAGGGCCCCTGGCCTTTGGTCACCCACCCAAAGTGCTAGACAGTCTTGGGAGGGTGGGGAAAAGCAGGCTGAGAGGGGGTTTCAACTGAAATGCCCGTCAGCCTCAAACGCCTTCCTTGGAGACAGAACTACACAAAGGTACAGGACAGCCGGACTCCAGGCTCCTGGAGAGACTATTCCCTCATGCTGTATTCCCTCCCCTACCCCTCATCTGCCACGTTCCCTGCTGCTAATGCTGACAGGTGCTGGCTCTGTGCAGGGAGCGTCACAGTGGGCACTGGAGGGTCAGAAAGAGATTTTACAGGTCACATGGGGGAATCTGCCCCTGCCCCAGGGCATCCCATGCTTGGTCACTGCTCTCCCTGGGTATGTCTACACTACATGGCTCCATCGATGGAGCCATGTTGATTTGTTTATTGGGCAAAAGGGAAATGAAGCGGCGATTTAAATAATCGCCGCTTCATTTCCCTTTTGCCCAATAAACAAATCAACATGGCTCCATCGATGGAGCCATGTTGATTTGTTTATTGGGCAAAAGGGAAATGAAGCGGCGATTATTTAAATCCCCGCTTCATTTCCCTTTTGCCCAATAAACAAATCAACATGGCTCCATCGATGGAGCCATGTTGATTTGTTTATTGGGCAAAAGGGAAATGAAGCGGCGATTATTTAAATCCCCGCTTCATTTCCCTTTGCCTATAACCCTAATCTACATGGCTCCGTCGATGGAGCCGTGTAGTCTAGACACAGCCCCTGTGCTCACATCACGCAAGGGGGGCATGTGGGGCTCAGCAGTGGTGACACTAGTCAGTGTCTGGCACTACACTCACACAGGGAGATTTTGCCCAGCCCTGGCTCAAGTGCGGTTTCCTCTGCACTTGATTCAAATTCCCTCTGCCCCAGGCAGGTTTTAAGACTCTCAACTGCAAACTCTGCTGGAAACAGGAAGCAAGTTGCCTGCACTGTCAGAAAATCCTCCCCAGTGCAGGAGCAGATTCCCCTCTCCTCCTGCTGATACTATGGAGTGGGATAAACAGGCTGCTTCCTGCCTTTAATCAACCTTGAGGGGGGAGGGGGGCAACATCTCTGGAAAGAAAAACTCACTTCCTGTTGCAGAAGAAAAAGATAAACCCTGGGCTCTTTAAAGTGAATTTTACTGTGTGGAGAAGGGAAGGAGCCAAACACAATGTCCTTGAAATTTCCTCCATGAGATTGTGTCCACAAAAACAGGATAAAGACACTTCCGCTGTCTCTGCCTGGAACTCCAATGGGGGGGTTCTTGGGCTCTGGGGTGGGAAGGGGGTGATGTTCTCTCCAGGTGGGAAGGGGTTAGCGATGGGGGTCCCTTTTGCACTTTACTTCAGGGCATCCAGATGAGTGCAGACCTGTACGAACACATCATCCACGCTGCCTTCTGCACTCAGCTGTGGGGGCAAAGCAGGAGAGCCAGTCAGAACAGGCCTTGGCGTCTGGACTATGTCCTGCATGGTGCAACGCCACACAGGCCTGGGACAGCCCAGCTCGTGTGTCTCTGTGCTGACGAGAGGATCTACTCGTGGCAGACAGCCAGGCGCAATGCCATCAGAATCCATCCACAGCGCCTCAGGCCTGTCCGGCTCTGGAGATGCTGGTCCGAGGAGTACTGGGAAAGCCCTCTCCAATGTTTCGCTTCCCTCTCCAGAGCCCCATGCTTCATTAGCCCGTTTCCCACAGTAAAAGGGGAGACTGACAGCTGGCTTTGAATATGGCTGTGCTCTGCCCAGAGGCAAGGGAGGGCCCCTTTAGCTCCTGGGAAGTCCCAGGCCATCTGAGACACAAACATAGTGTGCTCGATAGGGGGCTCGGACCCCCCTAAACTTTCAAAGGGCTCTGCAGAGGCTCAGCAGATGGGAAAGAGCCAGTTCTGCACCCACCCGTCCCCAGCTCCAGCCATGAATGGAGTGGCTTGGGCTGACGTACCTTTCGGACAATCCCTCTTTTCTCGTAGAATGCGATGACTGGCTCGGTGGCCTTGTAGTAAGTGTCCAAGCGCTTCTTGATCGTCTCCTCATTGTCATCCACCCGCCCACTGGTCTCCCCCCGTTTCAACAAGCGCTTGACCATGGTGTCCTTCCCGGCATCCACGTAGAGCAGCAGTGTTGGGGGGGCGATCTGTAGGAGGGGAGAATCAGGTGAATGGGCTTGTCTGTCCAGTCAGGCTGACCCAGATTCATAGTTTCTTCCACTAGCCCTGCAGCACAGTGACCCCAGGCGTGGGGAAGACGGTGCTCCCAACCATCACTGACTTGCATGGACCGGGGGAAGGGAGGGGGAGCCCGTGCCCCCAGCCATCACTGAGTCGCACCGACATGGGGATGGAGAGCTGGGTCCAGGGCAGTCATGCTAACAGTCTAACCCCCTGCAGAGGAGGATCAAGGCTGTTACCTCAGTGTGCACCAGCCATCCTGTGGTAAACAGGTTGAGGGTAACTTGGATGCTTTGGCACTGGGTGTCCCTCAGGAATGAGTGGCTCTGCCTTTGCTCCTGAGCACGCTATTGCATGTGTGCTGGGGGCCCAGTCAGCCTCCATTTGCTTGTTATTTTCAGCATGTTCATTCGTCCCAGGCCATTAGCCACCCTGACTTGAAAGTTCACCCCAGGTCATAGCAGGGCCAGGGCCTGCTAAACAGGATCCTCGTTGATTGTTTTTTTCCTGCTGTGTATCTATGGAGCAGCCATTGCACCACCTTCTGCCGGTCCTGTGTATTACAGCCAGGGATCACTTCAAGGCAGGAATAGGTTTTCTTCCTGGCCCCTCCAGGCGTTCACTAGCAGGGTGAGCTTCCCAAGGGCAGACAATAAAACCTGCTCCTAGGCATCAAACGGAACAACCTTCCTGCTCTAACCCCTTTAGAATACCTTTACATACAATCTTGCACTACAAACGCCTTCAGACTCTTTAAGGGTTCACTACAGTCACCTCTAGGGTAGAGCCAGACAGCTGCTTAACAGCACACAGCAAGGCTTCCTCAGCAGTTTAGGATGGGAAGTGACACCCAGTTGAAAGTGACTGGAAAATGGGGGAGGCAGAATGCAACTACTCAAGCTGGGCTGGGATACCAGGGTCAGAACCTGTTCTACAAAAACAGGAGAGATCCAGTCTTTGGTTTGACAAAACAGTGCCTCTAGCAACAGCACTTCTCCTGGTACCATGAAGGGCTTTGGTGCAACTCCCCCGAGGAGATGGTCTGCCCCACGATGTATCGACCCCACCACTGCCTCCTTTCTGGGGTTGCCTTATACAGCTACGGAGCAAGCTGAGTCTGAGACAAGACAACTTCAGGTGCGGATGTGAGGTAAAGTGGTCGGGGCAGGGGATGAGAACACACTGCTCCCGCTGCTGCCTACACTCTGTGGTCTCTGCCCGGTGGAACAAACCCCTTTCCTGCCCCACCCCTGCTCTGCCCTCTGCTCAGATTTGGTTTGACAAGCTTTTAGGGCAAAGAGCAGCACATTCTGTCAGGGTCATGCCAGGTCATGGACACTCTGCCACCTGCTTCCTTACCTTCTTCTCGAACTCCGCGCCTTGCTTTACCTCTCGGGGATACCCATCAATCAGGAACCCCTTGGAGATGTCTGCCTTGGCCACCATGGCGTCCCGCAACATATCAAGCACCGTGTCCTGGGGGTGGGGAACAGAAGGTGTTTCAGAGTCAGGGGTGGTGCTTGCAGTTCTAGCTACCTGGTAGCTTTGCAGTATCCTCAGCAGCTGCTGGGCTTCCCTTCCCCTGGGGGGCGCCCCTTCCCCGTGGGCAACCCCCATCTTAGTGCAATGCCACAGTAGCATCAGGACTTGTCCTCAATAACACCACCAAACAGATCCCTTGGCAGGATCCAGGGCCCATGTGCAGCTCCCAACTCATCAGAGGTGGCACAGTAAGCAGAGGCCACTCTCCATGGTCACTGGGTACAGACACTCACAGACATAGAGCTTGTCCTCCCCCATTTTATACTCTAACCTGCTCCTCTTCCCAGCTGCCAAACCAGTTTCTCCCCAGAGCTGCCAAAAGTGACCAGACTCCTGGGAAACCATATTCCTGAGCCAACTAAGAGTCCATCTACACTACGGAGATCGACCCTCTGGAGGTTGATCTTCTAGTGTTGAATTTAGTGGGTCTAGTGTAGACCATGAAATTAAACACTGAGGGCAGCCCCCACCAGTGTCCTGTACTTCTCATTCTGCAATGCGTACGGGAAGCGGACTGGACCATGTGTTCCTTTTGGCCTCCTGCAGTGTAGACGCTGCAGCAGCTTGGCTCAAGGTAAGCTGAATCCAGCTATACATTTTGCACACGTTAAGCTGACCTGTCTGGTATAGTGTAGACCAGGCCTAAGAGTTGAGAAAGAGGCTGCATTCCCCAGCTCCCCACAATACACTGCAGCCAGGAGAGAGGGTGGTCTGAACCTCTGCACTGTGTTTGCTCACTGGCACGGGTAGCTGGGAATGTGCCAGGATGCGACACTTTAAGACTAGGGATGTTAGAGTGCACACAACTAACCATTTAACTGAGAAGCGAATGCTTACTGGTTAATGATGTTGGTTACACTCAGCCACCTGGGGAGGTGTCTTTGGAGCCTCCTTCCCAAGAGCCAGGCAGGAAAGGACTGCCAGCTCTGCTTCCGGGGAGGTGTCTTTGGAGCCTCCTTCCCAGGAGCTGGGCAGGAAAGGGATGCCAGCTCTGCTCCCAGGGAGGTGTCTTTGGAGCCTCCTTCCCAGGAGCTGGGCAGGAAAGGGATGCCAGCTCTGCTCCCAGGGAGGTGTCTTTGGAGCCTCCTTCCCAGGAGCTGGGCAGGAAAGGGATGCCAGCTCTGCTCCCAGGGAGGTGTCTTTGGAGCCTCCTTCCCAGGAGCTGGGCAGGAAAGGGATGCCAGCTCTGCTCCCAGGGAGGTGTCTTTGGAGCCTCCTTCCCAGGAGCTGGGCAGGAAAGGGATGCCAGCTCTGCTCCCAGGGAGGTGTCTTTGGAGCCTCCTTCCCAGGAGCTGGGCAGGAAAGGGATGCCAGCTCTGCTCCCAGGGAGGTGTCTTTGGAGCCTCCTTCCCAGGAGCTGGGCAGGAAAGGGATGCCAGCTCTGCTCCCAGGGAGGTGTCTTTGGAGCCTCCTTCCCAGGAGCTGGGCAGGAAAGGGATGCCAGCTCTGCTCCCAGGGAGGTGTCTTTGGAGCCTCCTTCCCAGGAGCTGGGCAGGAAAGGGATGCCAGCTCTGCTCCCAGGGAGGTGTCTTTGGAGCCTCCTTCCCAGGAGCTGGGCAGGAAAGGGATGCCAGCTCTGCTCCCAGGGAGGTGTCTTTGGAGCCTCCTTCCCAGGAGCTGGGCAGGAAAGGGATGCCAGCTCTGCTCCCAGGGAGGTGTCTTTGGAGCCTCCTTCCCAGGAGCCAGGCAGGAAAGGGCTGCCAGCTCTGCTCCCGGGGAGGTGGCTTTGCTGCTGCAGTGAAGCCTCCTCCTCAACAGTCTGGTGGGCTCCCAGGAAGGAGGCTCCCTAGGAGCCAAGTGGGCAAGGGCTGCTTGCTCCGCTTCTGGAGAGGAGGCTTCGCTGTGGCAGTCCACTCCCAGGGAGGTTTTGCTGTAGGCTCTGCAGTATAAAATGAAGCTTTATACTGCAGACCCGCAGCACATGTAACTGCTGAGATGGTTACCCTATTACACTATCCCTAAAGACCCACTTCCCCCTGCTGCAAAAATGGCGCAGACTTACCAATGGCACCAGCTCTCCCTTCTCCATGATGGCAGAGAGCTTCTTGCCCCTCTCGGAGCCAGAGCTGACCTCTGCCCTCAGGAGGTCTCCGGTGGACAGGTGGGTATAGCCATACTTTTGCACGATCTTCTCGCATTGGGTCCCTTTCCCTGAGCCGGGCCCACCTGCAGTTCACACAAGGACAAGGCACAGATTCAAACCACAAAAGGAGGTGGTGGAGAAAGAGCTCCAGTGCTTCTTGGGAAAAAATCCCACTTAGACGCATCTCCATACTGGGGCATCTGCATGCAACTGGGACCTTAGGTAAGAAGTTAAGGGCTCCTGCTGGGCTCAGACTCCACTGCCCAGGGCAACACAGCCAGCTCTGGGGTGATTCTTATGATCTCATCAACATGTCATGAGGACTCATCGCAGCAAAACAGGCAGTAGCTGAACTCCAAAGTCAGAAAGCTTCTGCCTTGGTGGCACTATCACGAGTGACAGAAGGTGGGGAGAGAAACAGAGATACATGCAGAACTGCCGCCACAGGGCATGGATCCATGTTTTCCCCACAAAGCGTCAGTGTCTCTTTGAATGGCAGCTGCCCCGGGTGTCACCAAACTCAATGCTTCAGCTGCCATGTCAAACCTACCCTGGGCTGGGTATGACCAAGTCATTCAGTGCCACACTCTACTTGGTGGCCTACGTGAAACAGGGAGGGGCTGGGTGGCTGTCACATCACACTTCACTGACAGTCTCCACAGAGAGAGGCAAAGGACTGAATGGGCCCTGAGCCAGAACCCACCCAGTCACCTCCAGAATTGGGTTGGCTTCTCCAGGCCAGGCAGGAGGTGACGGCAGCACATGGAAGCAGCTCTCCCCTGTGCTGTGTCTGATATGGGGGTAAGTCGTGTTCTTCAGGGCACCTTCCTAAGGCACATGGAAAGCAAAGGCAGCAAGTACCCACCGGTCTGTCTCAGGGCCAAGCAGGGCCCCCCTAATACGCACTCCCAAGATTTCCATCCAAGTGTTTTTGGATGATAGATCCAACTTCTCCTTGGAGGCCAGGGCCAACCTTTGCAGACACAACCAGCAAGTTTCAGAGCATAATCTAGGACTCCTTAAAGATACCTCATGACCAGAAAGCTCTGAGCACCTGCCTGCTGAAAATCAGCCCCTTTCCAGCATCTCACATTGGCCCCCTGAAATGCCAGGTCTCCTTCAAAACTTCTGCTTAAAATTTGAAGGACAGGGTCCTAAGTCACCACCCCAACGAGCCCAGTGGCAGGGGCCTTATGCAGCCAAACCATGTCTGAAAGCGCAGCTCACAACTCCTCGGCATTTCCCTGCGCCCCGGCCGACTTACCCACCACGAAGATGATTTTGCTGTTCTTCAGTTTTTCTGTGGGAGAAGGAAAAGCGGAGAAGAGGGTCAGAGAGCGAGTGAGCGATCGCAGGAAGGAAGCCTCCACCCAGCCAGGACAATCCCTCTCCACAAATTTCCCAGGGGATCTGCTATGGCTGCCTGGGGGAAGGGAGTTGGCAGCCAGTCCCAGTTCCCCAGGGAGAAATGGGAGCAGAAGGCAGTCAGCAGTGGGGCGTGCGGCAATGGCTCTCTGGGGACCCTGCCCCCGGGGTACCTCTGCCAGCCTTTTCCAACGAGGTGGCCAGGCAGGAGCACTCTGTCCCCATCGCTCCGACTCGCTGGCTCCTGCTCTCCTCTATTGCCCCCCCTTCTTGCCAAGCCGTTTCCGCTCAGCACATTTTGATGCCTGAGCCAGCAGCCTCCCTTCACTGCTGGGCCAGGCTGGAGCCTTGTGGTCAGAGCTAACACACATCGCCGTGGAGTGGAGCCAAGCCTCAACCACTTCACAGAAGCCAATGGGCAAATATTCTGATCTCAGCTCACCCGGGGCAAATCTGGAGTGACTCCATGGAGACTGGTGTAAATGGGCTCAGATATCAACTCTTGGCAGTATCGCTCATGGAACAGCCTTCTATTACAAAACCCTACAGCCTTGAGCCCCCGCCCCCAAACATGGTGCCCACACCAATGCCATCCAGGACTCTCCTACAGCTATAGATGTGTATTAAAGACACGGAGAGAATGGTAGGAAACCCCAGAATTCCCAGACACACAAGGCAGGACACTGCAAGAGGCATCTACACTGCACCCATAGGTCAAAATAAGATACGTAATTTGAGCTACGCAAATTGCGTATCTTATTTCGAGCTAATTTCCAAAGAGCTTATCTTGTAATTTGGCACTATCTACACAGCGCCAAATTTTGAAATAAACCACTATTCCGAAATGTCACTTAATCCTCGTGGAACAAGAGTTACAGGGATGCCGGAATAGCGCACCCGTTATTTTGAAATCTATTTTGAAATAACAGACGTGTTTAAAGATGTGGAATAGCTATTTTGGGACACTTCCGGTATCCTGAAATAGCGCTGCTGTGCTGTCTAGACGTAGGCCAGCAGACCAAAGTTGTAACTTCAGCATCCCAAGTGGTTGCCTGGATTCACATTGTTAGGGAGAGTAAGGAAGGCCCACTCTGTGCCAACACCTCAGCTCCACAGCAGCGAGGGTCCCTGAGGGTCACAATCATTCTGGGAGTGGGCAATTTAATTCAAAGTCACCATTCATTCCAGTGCCTGGCGCTAATAGGGAGCTCCCCTCCCTAAGCACATTGGAACATTTTCAAAGCTGGATGAATGGTTCTGTCTCAAGTGTCCTATGGAGAAGGCAGAGATGCTAAAAATAAAGTGGGGTGGTTCTCAGAGTAGGCTGTGGCTTGGAGTCTGTGGCCCCCAGCAGTAAGATGTCTTCTGATTACAGCCTTCTAAAATTACATCTGAGCAGATGGGGAACAGCGTGGCCTTTGGCAGCTAGGTGCTTCCTGACCTCTTTGGCAGATTAGGTCTGCCTGTGCTGAGGCACTCATGTTGGGAGAGGCAGAGCTGGGGTTGCAAGCGCTGTCTGCATGAGACATCACGGATGATCTCTGGATATCAGAATAAAACTAAGCCCTGATTAAGGTTCTGCACCAGGGCTGAAAAGACAAGGGCTTAGTTCCTGGCTCTGCCGCAGGTTTACACTATGAGAAACATTTTCAAAAATGCTCAAGTGACTTCAGAACTTATGTCCCATTTTCAAAGGCTTTGCCTGCACTTAAGTGCCTACCACATGGGCACTCACTATAGCGACGGGAGGGAATCTCCCCTTGGTGTGAGTAATCTGCCTCCCTGAACGTGGGTAGTTGAATCAAGGGAAAAATTCTTGCTAGCATTGCCTATGCCAGGGGTTAGGACACTATAGTTGTGTCTCTCGGGGTTGTGAAGTTTTCATATCCCCGAGAGAATCAGCTATGTAAGTACTCACTGCAGACCTGCCCAAAGGGACTGCCGCACATAACAGCCTGGAGTCTCACTGAAAACAAATGCCCAAGTGCCTGGGCCACTCTTGTAAATGGGACTTGGGAGTATTTGAAAATTGTTCCTTACTCCCTTTGTGCCCGGTGCCCACCTATCACACACAGACACCACTCCACTACCTGCTGGGGATGCTATATGTCCCTCGCAGAGCCCATGGTAATGGGGGCCAAAGATAGAGGTGCACAGATAGGGGAACGGTTCTCAGTTGCACAGGCTGTCACTGGCTAAAATTGATAGAAACAAAGTCACCACCATCATCCGATGGTGTTCCTTGGCCTGGGAAGCTGAGTGGTTTTCAGGCCAGGTCCTACTGAACAAGTGCTGGCTTCACAAAAACTAATTGGCTCCCTTGACAGGAACAGAACTCCCCTCTCATCCTAAGAACAGGACCTGCAGGCCAGTGTGACTTTTTCATGGAAGGACAGCATGGGGATAGGCCATGCCCAGTTAATCTCTAGGACTTCCAGTTTAGGACTGGATCTTTCACCAGCACAGAACCCACATAAAACAAAAGGGGGACTGGGAGAAAGATGCCCTGAGCTAGGTGCTGTTCTCTCCCACTCCACTGTAAATGTGGATTGACTTCACTGAAGTCCAAGGATTTATTCTGTGTTTACAGGGCTGTGAGAGCAGAAAGTAACCACTGACTCCAGATTAGAGCAGGTGAAGAACCAACTGCAACCCAAAGCAAATGGGGGACACCCTGACAGTTAAAAATCCCCCCACTGAGCTCAAGTGCAAGGAGCACATGTGGATGCTGTTGGAACCAGCTAAGCAAGGAAGATGCCTGGCTTATGCTTTGTTCTCTCCTGCTCCTGCTCCTGGCAACATGCATAAGCCTGGAATTTCTGCAGTTCTGAGCTGGTGGGGATTAGGGATGTTAAATATTGGTTAATTGAATAGTCGAGTAACCTCATGAATTCTTAACGGTTAGTCGACTATTCTATAATCCCCAGGGGCAGGGGCAGCAGCCAGTGCACTCCGGCCTCAGTGCTAAGAAGCCCCCTGCTACTCCATGCTGCTGCCTCCGTATCAGAAGCAGCAGGACAGGGTGCCAGGCAGGAGATGGTCCGTGAGGGGAACAGTTTAAAAACCAGCTCCCTTCACAGACCGGCTGCCAGCTGCCCTATGCAGCTGCCTCTGATAAAGACGTAGCAATACGGGGTGGCAGCAGCCCCTGTCTAGTGGGAGTCTGAGCTCCCGGATCCAGTGTGAGCCATAACTAAGCCAGGCTGCCTGCCCACCCAGCTCCTAATACATTTTAAATGCAGAACCATGGCAGGGGTAGGTCCCAGACCCGTCATAAGCCAGGACTGAGCCAGACTGCTGGCCAGCCTGCTAAAAAATGTACTGGCAAGGGGGGGGGAAAATGCTTGTAGTCTATAGCATTAAGTGATAAGCTTTTGCTTATCGGTTAATTGACAATGCTATTACATTCCTAATGGGGATCTTAGTGGAAAAAAGGGAGAGAAGCAAGGAGGGACAAGGTTTCTAAAAGGGGATAAAGTAACAACAGAACCTGAGCCTGGTTAGGCGAGATGCTCCTAAGCCACAACTCTGGAACCAGCATCCCGCACCACACCCTAGATCTGCACTTGGGGGATCTAGTTGTCTAAGCAGTTGTCTCTGGGTTTAGACAACTGGATGTAGCCTCAGTATGATGGAGGCCTCAGAGGGTGGAGGGAAGGAGATGTGCCCCGGGAGAGAGAAGGCACTCTCACCTGTCGCCATTCTGAGGAGATCTGGGCAAAGAAGCTCTTCAATCTGAAAGGAAACAGAACTCCTGGTTAGACAGTGCAGAAGGGCGTGGAGGGTCAGCCATGGTATGGTATGGCCTTCAGAAATGGACCCAGTCCCATCCCTTCAGTGAGTAAGTACTCTTTAGCGCTTCCCGCTGCTCACATTTCCCATTAGCTGCTTGGGTTTCAACCTCTCCACACCTCTCACATATGTTTCCTAGAAATTGGAAGGAGATTTGCTGCCAGCATCTCAGAGCAGGACATGCCAGCTCTCTTTCAGACACACACGGCCACCCTCCCACAAATGGCACCAGCCCACAAATACAGCATCCTAGTAACTTGTTCTTTTTCCATGAGGGCAGGACAGGGCTGGAAACAGAGGCACAGGTCCCTGAGACTCCCTGGCTGGTCAGCAATCAGGCACTTACTTCTTGGAAGCGGGTGCATTTGAAAATGATTCCAAAGACTTCACAGGAGGATGCCCCAACCTCCCCTCCAGCCCAGAAGGCTCTCAGCTCTGAACCAGCAATTCCATTACCTGACGATCACACACACTTCAGAGCCTTCCTCTAGCTGCTTTCTGCTACATGGTGTGATCCAGAGAACAGCAGTCCTCCAGCCATCTGGGAGTGTCTTGGTGCCTATCGCACGTCACTGTGACAACCAGCCCTTCCTACCTCCTCTTTCACCCAGGGAGGGGGAGACAGGAGCATGAGAGAACACACAGGAGACAAAACTCACCCAGGACAGGAACCGTGAGACAGATTTGGAGCAGCAGGAAATCAGAGACAGCAGCAGGAAATCAGGGATGGGTAGGAGGACAGATACAGAAACCAACCTGAAGGATCCAGTCCTGCTTGTCAGAGCAGCAGCATTTGATGTTGGAGCCTGGCGGCTGCCTTTGCATATTTAATAAGCATTGCTTCAGTTACAGCAGGAGCTCAGGGGACGGAGGAGCAGAACCTGTTCCAGCCTCATGACCCTGGGCTTAATGCACCGCCCCAGCAGACAAGAGGAAGCCGACTAGATTTCCACACTGAGGCAGCAGCATGCCCCACTCCTTGGAGAGGCAGGGGATATTTTAGGCCACTTGGGCTACGTCTAGACTGCAAGCCTCTTTTGAAAGAGAGCATCTAGACTGCAACCACTTCTTTCGAAAAAGCGAGCCGCTTTTTCCAAAGAGAGCACCCAGGCAGTCTGGATGCTCTCTTTCAAAAAAGCCCTGTTGCATTCAAGAACGCCTTTTTTCGAAAGAGCGCTTTAAAAAAAAAGGCGTTCTTCCTCCTAAGATGACATTTACCGCGGTCAAAAAAACCGCCACGTTCTTTCGATTTAATTTCGAAAGAATGCGGCAGCAGTCTAGACACAGGAGAAGTTTTTTCGAAAAAATGCCACTATTTAAAAAAAACCCTGTAGTCTAGACACACCCTTGGGGGCACACCTACCCCCTTGCTCCTTCTGCCTGTTCTCCAGCCCCATTTCCTCCTGTTATGGGACACCAGGTGTTCGGGTCTCTTCTCGGGCGGTGCTCTCAGGCAGAGCGTTCAATTGAAGATTTGGCATTGCTAGCAGCAAGCACGGAGATGCTGGGAGCCCTGAGCAATGGCCCATGGCAGCAGACAGACACGGCTGTGCAGTGTTTGCCTGACAGACTCGCTGCTCTCAGTCTGCGTTTTGAGTGGTGTGACTCACTGGCTGGTGTGTGGGGGAGGTAAGAACCAACCTCACAGTAATATTCCATCCCCTTGGGCCTGCTGTTTACAGGGCAGGAAATGAGAAGCAGAGAAGCAGAGTGACAGGACCCCTTTAAAAGGTGCTTCTGTGACATCGTAGAGCAGTTATCTCTTTTTAACCACAAGATCACTCTTCCAATTTAAGTGCAATGTAAGATCTACCTCAAACCCAAATACCCTTGTCCGGCTTCCTTCCACCCACTTCTCTGAGGCCCCGCCCCTGCTCCATCCCTTCTCCAAGGCCTCACCCTGCTCACTCCATCCCCCTTCCTCCCCAAATCTAATTCACTTTCACCAGGCTGGAGTGCAGGCTCTGGTCTTTGGCCAAGGGGTTCAGAGTGTGGGAGGGGACTCCCTGAAGGTAGGAAGGTGGGGTGCATTCTGGAGTGGACATGGGGGATATGGCATTTGCCTGGGGAGCACAGGGTTGGGGGCTCAAGTCCTTTCCCCCCATCCTGGGAGCAGGCAGGCAGCCAACACAGGTTGCCCCAGGGATGGAGCTGGCTCCCGCATTAGAAAAGCAGGTAAGTGACCTGCTGAAGATAGGGAGGTGGGGTGGGTTCTGGAGCCCCCGAGGGGAGAGGGCATTAGCATCTAGAGCACAGCATGGTAGATTCAAGATAAGGAGGTGGGGCGGGTTCTGGAGTGGTCTAGCAGATAGGACATCTGGGGCAAAGCAGCGCTATGGGCTCAAGCCCCACCCAGCCAGACAGCCAAGGCAGGCCTGGCCCTGCACCACCCCCAAAAGCAGCTGGCATGCACAGCAGTGGCTCCATGTGCTGCCCCTCATCTCCAGGCACAGCCTCACTGGCCGTGGTTCTCCATTATTGATCAATGGAGTGGTGGAGGCTGGAGTAGTGTCTGCAGGCAAGGACAGCATGTGGAGACCCCCTGCTCTGACTTTCTCAGGGGCTGCAGGGACATGCCAGCCACCTCCAGGAGCAGGAGCACAATTACCACTGGGATAATTACTCCAGACATGACAGGTTAGGCATTTTAGAAATTACTGCTCAAAAAAAAAAAAAATAAGTTATGAAATGCACAGACCAGTCAAAAACCAAAACAAACTCACTTTGCAAGCAGTAAAAGTAGCAACAACCCTCGTCCCCCCCATGTACGTGTTGGAGACTCCAAATTCCCTTCCAATGCTCAGCTTTGACGTGATCTGTCCCATTCAGGGCTGTTCTGCAGCCCCTCCCTCACTTTGGGGCCAACACAACCCATGGTCACAAGAGCCATCTGTGTTCTCACGATGATAAAGCCACATTACTGAGGTCCGTAGCGAGCTCCAACCAGCCCAGCTTGTCTAGTGCTCACAGGTCAGGGCTTCTGCTTGGGGTTCCAGCAGAAATGGGGAGGCCTAGTGGCCTTCACAGAGGCCCAGGAGCTGGAACATGCACATCTTTCTCATGCACCTTTATCTAATTCAGCCCTCCCTTCCCCACAGGATGGCAGCCAGCAGCTGA